CTCCTAGATAAGAGTTTAAACTATCTGCATTTCCAAACAAAATTCAAAATTTTGAGACGCATTCACTACCAAGATATTTTGTCTGTGAACAAGTCTCAAGGGGGCATTTGTAGACATCGAAATTTTAATGTTTTATTAATTATTGTCTTTATTTATTTTTGGACATAAATCCAAGATAAATAAGATATCTATATATATATAAAAAGAATTACCATTTTCTAAATTTAGCAAGTTTTTTCCGCCAAATCATTAATTATATACCATATATAGTATTTTTTGGGTAATTGTGAATAAAAAAAAAACGGCTCTTTAATTGTTGGTTCCGTAATATACCTTCAAAATCGGTTGCAACTTGATTTCCTTAATTATAGCTCTTTAATTGTTGTTGCGAAATTTATGCCAAAGAGTTTAAAATAAGAATTCTTATTGACTTATTGTTCAAAATGCAACAATATCGTCCAACCGATACATTCTAATTTCTATCTTACAAAAAATCTGAAAAATAATACTGTCAACTATGAATTTAAGTAAGTTGAATCTTCCAAACAATGTGAAATCACGATAGATTTAAAAAAAAAAGCTATAACAGTTTAATCTTCCAACCGGTTATACATATTTTATTTCAATTTTTTTTAAAAAAAATATACAAGTTTTTATTAATAGATGATTATTTTTTTTAAAAAAATAAGTCAAATACATATTATTTATACCATATTTACAACAAATCACGTGTGAATTGATGAGAGATCTTTAGTCAAACTAAATAAGAGCTTTCCTTTCTTCAAAGTCTTTAAAACTCATCCAAATCAAACAATCTATTTTATTCCTTTTGTAATCTATATATTCAATTCTTCTATCCCAAAATGTCAACGCAAGCTGTAAGTTTTTTTTTTTGGTCGTCATACAGTCTCTTCATCATATTTATAATATCTTCATCATATTTATAAGTTTCTATCATTAATTGAAAAGCCTAAAATATTGGCTTTTGTTCCATGCACCATTAAAGATCGTACAAAAAAAGCTCATTAATGTATACCCGCCTAAAAAATCTCAAGTTAATTTTACAGAATCCCAATGCATAAATATCGGCTTTTGGTTCCATACATATTAAAGACTGTACAAAAAAACCCATTAATGTATACCAGCCTAAAAAATCTCATGGTAATCTTACAGAATACCATCGCTCGGTAAATTTAAAAAATCTCATCTCTTAGGTATCTATTCTAACATGTTTTTTTAACAAAATTATGTAACATAATTTTTTTAACGAGAATAAGATTTATCACATATTTCTCCTCCAAAAATATTAAATGCACATAATAAAAAGTTAAAATAAATGCAGATTTAAATATTGTCTTCAATTTTTGTTTAATATCACTTATATATAAAATTCTATTTTATTTGTTACATTTTAAATTAATCTTGATCTGTATTTGTAAAACTAATAAATCTGCATAAAGCGTGGAATTGTTATGCGTATAATTTTTTATTAACGGTAACAACGTATAAAAAAATAATAAGAAATACGGTCATAATTCTCGGTATAATTTCATTATTTATTTTATATATAAGTGGTAAATTTTCTCTCAAAAATTTATAATGTTTTTATTTAGGCTTATGATATTGTAGATACTTTTATATAATATTTTATCATGTCATATTATATCTATACATACATATACGCGTATATATGTATACATATCAAATTTAAATATTTTTAAACATGTTTTCTTTACAACAGTGTTTAGAAAACATCTTTCATAAAATATAAAATTTAAATGTTTTTAAACATGTTTTCTTTCTAAAATAGTTTAAAAAAATTGTAGGTGACTCCACATCTTTTAATAATAATACATAAACTTTTACATACTTTTACATGTTTTTAGTATTTTAAAATGCAAACTCTATGTTCTATTATACAAGTTAATTTTATATTGTTGATAATAAACTGATATATGATGGTCAATTACATCATATGTTAACCACACCACTCGAATTCGAGACCAATTTATAATTATTAAGTTGATATACGACGGTAAATTATATCATATGTTAACCCCACATTTTTAATTTATATTTTTTTTTGCTCTTTTAAAATTGGATAATGGTTCCCCGCCACTCGAACTCGAGATCTATTATTTAATATAGTTACCCGTGCATCGCACGGGGCTACGCACTAGTTTAATTAATAATGTAATTATTTCTTGCCCACCAAGTCAAATCTTAGGATAAGGAAAGAGATTATATCAAATTTTAGGAGAAGGAAAGAGATTATGTCAAATCATGAAGGACAATCAAATTGAAGTCTTATTCTCCAAGACTCTCTCCTACACCCTATAAACAGGGCTCTCCTCAATCCCACAAACCACACCCCAAACACCTTAAAAAAAATCAAACACCTCTTGAATCAAAGTCTCAAAAATCCAAGAGCTTTCAAGAACCGTTTTGAAGATTTGAAGAAGTTCTTGAAGAACTCTCCGAAGTCCATTCAAGTTGTACATAAAGTTTTATGTTTTTCATAAAGTTTTGTTGTTACATACATATATACAATTGTTTGCACGTTTGACTACGATTATCTGCAAAAAAAAGACACATGTATGGTCGAGATATGGTCGAACGTGCAAATAATTTAAAAACGTATAGTACTTTGAAAATTTTTTTACCCTATTTTCTTTTCCAATAAATAACTTCCTCGGGAATTTAATTTAAAATTTGCATTTCACTATGATGTATCGAACAGAACAACAATAATAATAATAATAATAATAATAATAAAAAAAAAAAACTGGAAATTCATTCATTATTATTATTTGTCTCTTCTTCTTCTCTTCTGTACTGCCCAAGGAAACCTTCACACGTTCTCTTCATTCTCCGGCGCATTCCTCCATTTTCGAAACCACCTTGATAATGCTGATAATCGAACACATCGCAAGAGAGAGAGAGCGGCGAGAGAGAGATGAAAGAATGCTTAGGGTTTCATAAAACTGAAAAGTGAAGAATAAAGGTACATGAGTGCCCTTATATACTTGGGTCACTTGTGCAAATACTGTAAAATACCTATACTTCTAATGAATATGAAAGAAACTTAAAAGTGTTTGTACATTTTGTAAAATGATTTGTACATATGTTATTACCCCCCCTCAAGATGAACATGAATATTTTTCAAGTTCATCTTGGAAGAAAGAGCAGAAAACAAAGGGTAACAGAGGGGTTTGGTAAAAATGTCTGCAATCTGATCCTGAGAGGGTACATGAGCAACTGAAATGATGCCTCTGGAAATCTTTTCCCTTATGAGATGGCAATCCAGCTCTATGTGCTTTGTTCTCTCATGAAAGACTGGATTTGTGGCAATGGAAAGTGCAGCTTTGCTATTTGAGAAAATGCAAACTGGAGAAGAGTGAGTAATGTTCAGCTCATCAAGTAAGTAAAGCAGCCATTGAACTTCACAGCTAGTATAGGCTAAGGCCCTATACTCAGCTTCTGCTGAGGATTTACTAACAGTTGCTTGCTTTTTAGATTTCCAAGAAAT